GATGACTGCCAAACAATAGTTGACACTACGTCAAGACGTATCGAAGCAGTAATCAGCCGGAATGGCGATGTAACGCATCAGTCGTGATTTGCTGCTATCGGGTTTCGTTCATTTTTATTAAAATGGGCAGAATTTTTTTGAATTCGTAAGAAAATTTTATGATACAAAACAAAATTCGTATTTTCGGCTGATGTCAAATAAAAATGTCTTATATTATCATAAAAACATTGAAATTTTTGATACTTTTTCGCTAATATGACAAAGGACCCCGTACGAAAACACGGGAAATTGGTTCTCGGTCGAATTGGCTGAAATTTTATTATGTTGTTGTGGGATGGCTCATTAGAAAAATATGTGAGTTTGAAAAGTTTTGTATGTTTAGTTTCTGATATATAAGTCGACAAAGTTCGTAAAAACGTCGTATCGGGGTAGGATTGACAAAAAAAACTGTTTTTTTAGTATAAATGAAACAAAATAAGCTAGAAAATTTATTGATCGGAACTCATAAACATGTCTAGTTATAATCACATAAATTATAGTAAATCAGGGTGTATACGAGGCACGGTCAAAAAATTCATTTTTCGGAAAAAAAATTCGAGCACTATTCCAGAACCAACAAGTTATATTTTGGTGGGACATTATAGTTTTAGTCTATTGTAGGCTTCGAAAACGTATTTTGATTCTTGATAAGTAGGTATCTGTGTTCGAAATATGAATTTTTAGAATTTTGTGTTATACCCTTTTTTGAAAACAATTGACAGCTTGTTTTTGATCACAAAGAAAGGGATTGATTGATACTGTTGATTGAATGAAAGCTGATGTGACTCACAAGCGAATTCAGTTGTTGAATATTGCCTTTCATCTAGATACAGGGTGCGTGTTAGATTTTGTTGAAGATTATTTGACATGTTTCAATTGAATATCTCGAAAACAGTTCCGTTAATTTGGATCTCATTTCACTGGCACTATTTTGAATATGTTGACTATCATATGCAAAAAGTTTCTCGTTTCTGAGATATCAATTTTTGAGTTTACAGTATTACTGGTATAATTGTTTTTTTTTTCTTTGTTAATCCTACCCCGATACGACGTTTTTACGAACTTTTTCGTATTATATCTCAGAAACTAAACATACAAAACTTTTCAAACTCACATATTTTTCTAATGAGCCATCCCACAACAACATAGTATAATTTCAGCCAATTCGACCGAGAGCCAATTTCCCGTGTTTTCGTGCGGGGTTCTTTCATAAAAAACGTTGTTTTGATATTTGGGCCAACTTCACTGAGACAGGGCTAAATATAGAATGAAACATTCATTCCGTGTTACTTTTTCAAAAGTGGGGTCGAGTGATATATCATTTAAACGGGCCCAAAATTACACGTTCTCAAAGATATACCCTATTTGTTGAAATTTTCTCTTCCCGTTATGGAACCATCAGTATAAATAGCGAACTACCGCAGTGCGTCTCCTGACATTTTTCTTTCTTCTTCATTTCATTTCCTTTGTCCTTTATTCAAATAAGATAATCAATTGTTCCAAAATGTGAAATTTCAACTTTTGAGCTAGATATTGAGGATACTATAAGACCTATTACGAGGAAAACGTTGTGAGTGAAGTTAGTAGAAAATCTTTTAAGATTCGATTTAAACTCAGAACAACGCGAATAAATTAGAAGATTAACTCATATTCTGCAAAAAACTAGAAAATGAGAAAAATGGATTTTGGTAAGATTCCATCTGAACCTGTTCCAAGTGGTGAAAAAAATGAAATTTTCAGAAACCGTACCCGTTCAACGGATTTTGTAACTTTTTATTTTCGGTTTACTGAAACATTGAAGTCGATGATCAAGACGACACCGAACAGAAAATTAATGAATACCCATTGTGTTTGCAACTCTCGCCAGAGAAAAGAGTTTCCATCTATTCATATGGCATTTCTCGCGTAATTATTTTCCGGAAGGGCTGTGGCCGGCCATCTTTTTAATTTCGACGCTTTCTACTGCAGACTCTTCCTCTTCTTCGCTATATATCTACCGAATCCTGAATTCACTATACAATATACCCGCCTTTTGTTATGGATATCGCGTTCGCGGTTATTGTTCTTCATTAATTGTGTTTTTTTTTCTTTCATTTATATACGACTGCTAAACGTTCTCCCATATTATTTCTGCACCCTCTGAATGTCATGTCGCTTTTTAAATGCTGTTGGGTTTTAATGGGTCGTGGAGAGGGTGCAATAAGTAATTGGAGTTAAGGAGTTGCTTGGTTGTGATGTAAATGGCCAGTTTCATAAATGAATCTCTCAGAACAGCAAATTGTTTTTGTCAACGAGGTATTGTTCGTAGTAATGTCGTTCAGTCGTAACTACCATGTGCCGCAAAGTAATTATGTAAGAAAAATAAAAATTAACTGAGTTGAAAGATGTTCGGAGTTGGTATCTAATAAATTTCTGGATTCTTTATATATAGTGCTCAATAATTGATCGCGAACACATTTTATGGGCTGTTAAGTGAACGTAAAATTGAATCGATTTTTCATGACTTTTTCTGCCTCTTTCAAGACCTGTTTTATTTTTATTTTCTGAATTTTTTAAATCTCTAACATCCTCTTCAGGATCTTCAGGATGAGCTATGGAATGGTTCATGTTACGCTACCAAAATTTCAAATGATCGTTGTTATGTCTTCGAATAACCTTTCACATAGAGAGACACGGCAGTGTCTTGCACCAAGTACTCGTATCAATAGTTACTTTTGTAGTTGACGGAACGAAAAGTAAACAATATATAGTAGTTCGAAAAATTAGAAATAAAAACGTTTTTATAGATAGGCGAACTAAAAAAAAGTAGATATTGAGATAATAAAAGCAGGTTGATAAAAACACAACATAGAAAATATTAGCACCTCCTAATCAGTATTTTCTATATGTTGTGTATTCATCTACACACTTCAATTATTTTATTCTACTACAGCTTGTCTCATTTCAATTGGTCCTCACTCTACAGTTTGTTACAATGTATTTCTTAGCCCACTGCGATCACAAAAATTCCAGCAATATCAAAGAAAACGGATTATGCATGCTTTACAGAATTGATGTAGGCAATCGATACGGACTAGTCACAAATACTCCTATATCAGTTTCCAAAACAATATATCTCACACGGGGTGTTTTTTATAAACGTTACAATTTCTGAATATTAGTTGGAGATTTTAAGAAAATAAAGGAGATTTCTTACCAGAATTGTGTGTTTTGCACTAAATCATGAAGAGGTACTCATTAAAAAAAGTGCTCAAAATTATTTCCATGAAACATCTACTTCCATTTTCATTGAAGTTAAGAAAGAATTTCAGGATGCGGACAAGTTATAAACAAAAACAATCATTTCGTATTCCATTGGAAATGCACCAGCTCACAATTTTTAGAGAACCAACGTAGTGTTGTTATCAGCTCTGTATAAGTACCTTTCGAAATAAGTATTCGGTGGTACAGAGAGGCATGGAAGGAAGGACCTCCTATCAATGCATGCATTGCTGTCTATACAGACGGTTCCAAACCTGAGGAAGGGTCGGGAGCCAGTATTTATGGTGCCAAGTCAAAGACAAGAATCCCACTGAGCTTAGGTAGTAAATACGTGACGGTGTTTCAGGCAGAAATTTGTCGCAGTACATCTTTGCCTAAAAGAACTGATAACCATTTCAATCTACTCGGATAGCCAGGTGAAAATCAAAGCAGTTCACTCAATGCAAATTAACTCAGAACTAGTCTGGGACTACCTATAGAAACCCTGTATGAACTGAGCAGTCAGGAAAGAATGGGTACCAACACACACAGGGTACTAGGGCAACGAAGAGGCAGATTCACTAGCCCGAGCAGGAGCTAGTAAATTTCTGGATGGCCCAGACCCAGAACATCTTTGTGCTATTGCGAAAGCTATACGAAAGATGCAAACCAAATCTCAAGATTGGTGGAACAACTCGCCAGGAATGAGATAGGCAAAGGAGTTTATCACAAAACCATCGCCAATATCCACAGAACATCTACTAAGCCAGGAACGAAGTTCAACTAGAACACTATAGTGGGTCTTCTCACAGGGCATTGTAGGCTCAACAAACAAATGAGTACAATAGGTCTGGCTGAAGAACTGCTATGCAGGTTCTGCCAGGGAGAGAAGGAAGCAGCAGTACACATACTTTGCCACTGTGAGGGCTTGTCAATAATTAGGTTTCTTACGCTGGGAGAGGAAAAATCGAAAGCCCAAAGATACACAGGGGATCTAGAAGCTACACTATGAAGCCTCATAGAGAAGGCTGGGCTAGCTAAAGAACTCTAAACGATTTAGAGGGCAGACACAATAGATCTGAAAATATCGCGGTGTGGAGGCAGATAGCCCGAGGGCCCTTTTGAAATCTAATTTTGATCTAATCTAATCACCTATACATCACGCAGGACGATTTTTGTGATCGGGACAATTTAATAAGACAATATCGGAATGTATACAATGCGTGGAAAAGGCGACGAGAGCTGAGAGTTAGGAGCAGAAAGTAGAAGGGCATATCATCTTTCCCTTCGCGTTATTTCTGCCCGTAAGGGCATCGAATGGAGATTAAAGACTTCTGATGTCTGCAGACGACGCGAAAGATGTCTCTGACTGATTAAAAGTCAGATATGCGGACACAAAAGCATCTTGCAGATATAAACCTTCAGATAGTATATCGATTCTATTGAAACGATACTCCACTGATATTTCATGATAAAAGTGGTGGAATTCTTTGCTGAATCAAAAATAAGATGTTGTATTTGACAGAGATTATAGAAAACTCTCTTTCATTAATTAACGATCCACTTACTTGTTCGTAATCAACATTGATTTTGCACCTACTTGTTGTGTATTTTGGTGTGGAAGAATGTTTAGTTCATTTGGTTGAAGAGGTTCCCTTCTCATCAGTTGCTCCTTGTTTTTCTTGTGGTGATGTTGTATCAGGTAGATAATTTCGACTCACCTGGAGAAGAGGTACTAAATTTTTGTATGTTCTGGACACTCACAGCAGATGAATTCATATATTGTCAATCATTTTTGCAAAACACTGACTTCTTGAAACGTCAGACAAGTTGTTGAGATATGACATTCATGTAAAGGGCGATTTTGGTAATGACCATCATTATTATTATTATTATAGATAGAACAGTGAAAGGTCGCCGACTTTTCTTCGGTTTTCTAATGGGGTCAAAAAGTTGGTGAGTGTGGCATCACCCACCAGGCGAATGGCTCTTCTCTGGATGGAATCTAAGAGTTTTAGCGTATGTATGGGTGCTGAACTCCATACATGAGAATAGTATATTCTAAAACTGGCCGTATCTCTGCTTTGTAGATCATGAGCTATTATGTATAATTAATTCAGCCACCTTTTAATTTCAATATATACACGGTGTTTCATTAATATTGCACAAATCTTCGAGGTCATATTTTTCGGGTGAAAAAAAAAAAGTTCATATAAACAGATGTTCGAAAACGATTCATTCCTGAACAACAGGGTGATCAAGTTTCTTGAAGAATCGAGTTTTTATTAATTTCTAAAATATACCTGTGTGCATGATAGAATTCAAAATGAGGTATTTTTATTCGGACCGAATTCAGTTGATGAAGTATTATCAATGACGTCCCCACGAGGCAATTTCAATAGTTTTTCTGCACAGAAAATAACACCCAGTGGATTATTTCAAATTTTTGCAATTTTTTTGATTGAGGCAACTCATAATACATATATTTTGGCTCCATAGTTTTTTTTTGTATCTGGCTGCGTTTCAGGAGTATAACAAACAAAAACCAAACATATGCATATGAATAACCCGATGAGAGAAAAACGGTAATAAATCTAGTTGCCCGTTTACCATATCAATGTCAATTTAGAAATTAATAAAATATTCTTATTTTGATCCAAAAAATACTACCTCGAAGGTTTGTCGATATTAATGTAACACCCTGTATATTGGACCACTTTTCGCCCTTGCTATAGCCGTACCAATAAAAAAACAATTCGACATCGGTCAAAATGACTTGCTCGGTGAATTATTTTCTCGGGAAATCGTCCTTGTTTATGTTTACAGGAATTTTACGATCGGACTCCCTCTTAATAGCTCGAAGGAAATTATTTTCGTTTCCAATGGAATAACGAAGAGGTCTATATTCGGTTTATGGCGGTGATAACAAGGTATACGCGCGGACGTTCGGAATGGTTTTTGCGAATGACCGTGATTTCCCAATGGAAATTTACAATTTTTCTTGTGGAATCGAATTATGGGTATTATGTGATAAACCCGAAAATTCAATTTTCATCATTGAATATATGTTCGTATTCGAAAAGCAGGGGGTGGTGATTGAGTAATTTATACGTCTCTATTTCGTATTTTGCTAATTTGCCAATAGTACTTTCTAGAATTTGAGGAAAAACGTCACTCAAAACTTTATCAGTTGATGATAAGAGCAAAATAGATTTGAATTCCATACTTTGATGCCTTGGATTCTCGTAAAAATAATACAGATTCTGTTTATTAATTGTACCTTAAACTGATTGCCGCCTTTTCACGGACATTCTATATAATAGATTCTTTTATATGAAATATTCACAGTTGATGCCTTTTGCTGTAGTCAACCAGCTTTGGAGTTCTACCAAAACCAAAACTGTTTACACTGTTCGAAGTATATTTCTATCCTATTAAATTTCTATTTGACATTTATTTGTATTGTATTTTATTCATGGCATCAAGCGACACGGTTTCAAATAGGTTGTTATGACGACAGGATGTTTTCGCAGTGCAATCTTCGTTTTGCACTGCAATTACCGCTGTAATTCTTCGATAATTGCATTGTTCTTGTTAGGCATTTTATATAAATAATGAGGGAAATATTCGATAAAATGGAGTATCGTCCAAACTCGTAATTTTCGTTATGACGTCCGTATTCGTCGCGAAAGAAAGAAGAAGATTCAGGGTTATGGTTAGGGTAAGGGTTAGGGTTGGGGTCGACTGAGAACTGGCAGCTCAGAGGGCATCGCATCTCGCACACGCCACAGGTACTAAAATATTGATGGGCCCATCCTCCCGGTTATATATGCAACATCGGTACAAGATATAAAACTCCCTTCTATTGGCCATATCTCAGCATTACTCGCTCCGAGGGCACACGCAGGGTATCCTCTGGGAGAAACCATTTCTCCACCACCCCCTCTTCACGTGTGCCACCCCTACCCCTCTCTTTCCTGACCGACTGACTTTCGGTGTTACCTGGAATTGGGATATTTCGCTGAAGGAATATGGATAGCGACTGGAATCTGAAGGATAATCACAAAGAGAGAGAAACTCAAAGTCATTAGCACAATAGTTCATAAAATGAACGATCATGGTAGATAACGGGAGAAAAACAACTACTTTCCTGGCTATATACCAAGCAGAACATTAGTCCATATTCATAAAAAGAAGCTTCACCTTTTACTTTCACAAAATGAAGCAATTCCTTCAAGGTATATGCATAAAAATAATTGAAGGAAAAGGTAATGCTTCGAGGGGTTTGCTTCAGAGAAAAAGGTTAAGCTCTTTTCTTATTTATAAAAAGAAGAATTTGCTCAAAAACTGAAGGATGTGCTTCTGAAAAAAGGAATCTAGGATCACAACAACTTTTCATACTCTATTCAGTAGCTGCCCAGCCATCACACAGCTTATTGTAACGTCACATTTGCATATTTTGAAGGGTGTGGACGGCCTTGAGTGGATGATCTTTGGTTGTGTAGTCCCAGTGTGTTCTGTTTGTTATGGTTAATATATGGTGCATTCACTTACTGCAAACCAAGAATGAGATTCCAAAACTTTAGTTAGATTTGGGGAGGATAATGTGATGAAAATGAAAGTATTTCTCCGTTATTTCGCGAAAACTAGATTCCAGAGAGAACTTGCTGAAGAATTGGGATGTACACAGCCCACAGTGTCCAGAATATCTAATGAGGTGCTTGCGGATTGTACAACAGAGCAGCGAATGGATACGATATTAAGTAAAAAACGAATAAACTACGCTGTCGCAGAACACATGTAAGCGTTGATTCCACACTACAAGTCTCAATCTGTCATAATCGCTGTACAATTATCTTCTTCTTCTTCTTTTGTGTTCATTGATTTTCTGACTCCTTGCCAATTTCACCAGATCCGGTAAGGGCTATACCTTTTACTTTATTTATGCGAAGCATTTCCTTGCAAGGAAGAGGTAGAGATTATGAATACAACTTAAAGCAAAATCTTTTTCTTTTACCTCTTGCTTCTACCTTTTACTTGAAAGTAAATGCTTCATTTTTATGAATATTGACTATTGGATTAAATCCTTCCGAAATCTATGCAATAATTCGTATAGACGAATAAAATCACAAGTGTTTCCTTCCTTCTGGACGTAAGCAATATTTTTTATAATAAATAAATCTCAAGAATCTGTTTTGAATTTTTTCCAGCGAAGATATTGTGGACTGGTATTCAACAAACCAAATATGGGAACCATACTCCATTTTGGGTCTCACCAGACTATAAAAAAGAGTCTTCAGTGCCTCTATGCTGGAAAAGTTTGGGGCCTGCCTGATTATAAAACCCAATAACCGATTCGCGGAGCTCGTGATATTCATCATACAAAGTTGGTCTGAAATTCTTCGATACAAATTTAAAGTCAGTGCCTATATGTCGATTTTGTCTGAAGTTTAGTGTTGCGAGCTACTCATCCTTGGATATGAAAATATCATGACATCCATGCCCATGACAGCTTGTGATTTTGATTATTTTTTGATCAAACTACCAATGAGGAAGTGAAACACAAAAACGAAAACATCATGTTCTCGAATATCAACACAGATATTTCAACCAATCAAAATCGTCTGTTCAGAAATGAATAGAATAATCGAAGCTGAAAATAATAATTGATATCTTATAATTAAATCGAAAATTAACAAATAACAGATAGTTATATACATAATAATACCCTATAAGCATTTCTATTTGTGACCTGTTGTAATAATCTCATTGGTAATCTCAAGGTTGTCATGATCCGTAAACAGTATCACCATCATACTGGAGCAAGGAGCACTCATATTTATTCATGCAATTTGGATTTTCTGCAAAACCAATATTATTAGTGAGCTCACCATCGTTTTCTTCACATCTTAGTTCCTACCCGCAATGTCAAACGTCGTTGAGAAATGTTGAGACCTGCCACAGCCGGCTCTAAAGATGGCTATGGAACTGCGCGCGTCGCGCACGATGCTCAATTGTTTTGAATTTTAATCTGTTGATTTCTTGGTGTTGACGAGTTAACCTGAAATGATGTGTTGTTTTCTGATGAAATCTCGGATGAAATTGTGGTTTAACATTATGAAATCAAAAATATTATCATTGACTGCAACTTTTGGGAACATATCTCATAATGGTGGAAGAAATAGATTCGGTTTATATGCAGTTGAAGTTGGAGCTACTTGAGTGGGTAAGCACAACATAATCTAGGTAGATTCCAAATTTACATTCGCTGAAGTTTGTATCCTCGGTCTCATTTCGATTCCTGCATTATTAGGACTACCATATTTATTATTATGAAATGAGAATAATTCGAATCTTTCATTTTTGTGCTTGAGTCATAGTATAAAAAGAGTATTTTTCTACGGCTATAACACAAGATTGCTCTTGTTTTACTGTGTTCGATACATCAATATATTATTATCGCCTATAGCTCATGCTGCAAACTTCATTCTCGTAGGAAATCACTATCATTCCGTGCTCGTTAAACAATATAAGAACTAATGTCTACGGTTTGAGTCGGTTTGAGTTTACTCATGTACCAATAGGTACCAACATGTCATTATTTATAATTGTCAAGAACAAATCATACAACCACAGTACCGATATTAATTTGATGATGTTGAATATGGATTGAAATAAAATAAATATACCTACCTAATAGATACTGGATCCCAAACACTGCCCAGCCAAAAATGAACTTTTTACTCGTGTATATTACAGACATTCTGTAGAAATTGAAAAAATATCAAAATCTGATGGAGTCCTATAATATT